TCAGCAGGAGAGAGCATCAGACACTCCAGTGAGAAATACATGTTAATCAGTTCAAACACTCCAAAACATTTATTAGTTAAAATGCACTACATTCTGACTGTTCTTTTTAATTTTCTTGGGTGAATCAGCAATAAGTCAGGAGAAAATTTAAACTCACCATAGCAGAGAGATCATTTGTTAATCTTTGTAGAAAGGTCAGACCCTGAGATATGTGCTGTCCTCGTGAGAAATCAGGGGAAATCAGCAGTGCTCAGTGCAGTTTTCATAGTTCTATCAAATATATCACAGACAACCCATAAGCGTGGTCTGGAGTCAGGTTATTGGTTCAGGAGAGACTGAAGGGTTTGGGCTTCTTTTATAGCTTTGCATGGAAGTTGCTTTTTCACTGGTGAGCCAAATCTATACATCAAGTTTAAACTTTTGGAATGATCAGTTCTTAATCTGAACGTAGTAGCTCAGCCACACATCTGCTGTCAGAAAACTGGCATAGTTTCAGCCTATGTTCAGCTAAGTATTGGTAAACTTGCCAAAATTATGTGAGTCTTATCTGGACTGATACTCAGCCAGTGAGCCTCCGCCCAGCACTCAATAATCTTTGCTCACACAATGTCACATATTCCATTGCATCAGCATGTGCAGCAAATATAGAACGGAGGATAATGAGTGTCCTGAACCTAGTACAGTTCATGTATCTCATAGTGAGTTTGAGATTTTCACAACAAGGGAAAAGAATTATTGCATGTATCAGTATTTTGTGAAAAAAAAAAAAAATAAAACCTGATATGCAGTTTTGAAAAAGTATCAACTCATTATTTTTTATAAAAATATTTCTTCTTGATATCTGCAATGTTGTTTCTTTCCTTCTACTTCCTTTTCACCTTTGTAAGCAGTAAAAATGAATGCATACACCACTTCTTTTCCCTCTCTCATATAACTAAATGACTTTGCAAATGTTATAGAGTCATTACTCTGGTACTACTACAGAGTTAAGGGACAAGATTTCCTTTTTTCTTCTGCTGCTTGTCTGTGTTTCCTAGAAAGGAGATGACAAATTCGCAGGGGAAACCCAAAAATCAAAGACTGCAGACACTCATTTATGTCCAGTGCAGAAAACGGAAACAGAATTTTAGACAGAAGTAGAGAAAATAAAAAGAATCAAAATTTTATATTTTTTTAATATTTTGAAAAAAAAGGGCAAAATTTTAACTCAAGTAAGCTATCAATGTATTCTTTATTTTTGAATGTTTTTCATAGAAACAATATTGTCTTCCCCATGAAATATTTAGGAGTGCTTTTTTTGTTGTTTTCAGTTGGAAAATTTCAGGAACTTGAAGTTTAAGAGATCCCACAATCATATCATTTTCCTACATGAACACAGTTAACATGGATATTAAATCTGAAAAATAATCTTCTTTTGTCAAAATATGGACATAAGACAAAAAAAGGGCACAAAAATTTGATCTATTGATAAATAGACATATAAGTGTCTTAGCTGAAATTAACCTTTTATTTTTTTCTTAACATTTATCAGTATATTAGTTTTTCATATTTTAATAAGGCTTTTTTTCATGGCATGGAAAATACAGATGACAGTTCACCCCACAAACTTCCCAGACAATATCTAGAACAATAAGTTATGTGACCCTTCTGAAACAGCTATGTTAGATTTATTTTAATTTCTGAAAAATCATGGAGAGCTATGTAGAACTGTTTTTTTTTTTAATTGAAGCAAGAAGATAAACAGCAGGATTCATCAATAAATGGAATCTGAAGTAAACAGATGGTTACAAGCACTAGGACTACAAGAAGATTATATTTCATATAAAACTATATTTAAATCACTGTGGAAGCATTCAGTGCATGCAGAAAAGGCTTCACAATGAGTACATAATAGGAATAATATTAAAGAATTACTAGATCATATGCTTGAGTTGCTCTGAGTTAAATGCTCATTTGTTTTTAAGAGGATATGCTTTCAATTGTGTTTGAAAAGACTCAAGAAACTTGTTAACTTTTTCCAGTTGCAAATAATGCTCTTGCCCAACCACTGAATTTCAAGTGTGCTTGTGTATTGCTCTGGATTAACTTACTTAACATTAACTTTGGACAGTGCTTATTAGTGGTTGGTGTGCTACAGGGCAGGGCTGCCCTTCAGACAGACCTCAGTAAGCTAGAGGAATGAACCTTGTGAAGCTCAAGGGCAAATGCAAACTCCTGCATCTGGAACAGAAAAACTCCATGAGACATTACAGGCTTGGAGATGACTAGAGAGGAAGTGGCTTTGCAGAAAAGGATTTGAATAGTGGACAGTAACTTGTGTATGAACAGGACCATGACCTTAGGCAAGGTCAGCCAGATACCAGGCTGCCTTAAGAATACAACCATCAGGTCAAGGGAATCCTCCCACTGAGCTTTCTTGAGGGAACATCCAATAAATGTTTCTAGGTTTTGGACCAGTAATTAAAAAAAATAAATAAATAAATAAATAAATAAAAGAGATTACCATGAGTGAGGCAATTAAGATTAGAAAGCTGAAGCACATGGCAAAACTGATGCTGGGTTTTCTCATCCTGGCTAATGAGAGGTTCTAACTGTAGTCTTCCATTAAGAAAAAAGAGATCTGACAGAGTCAAATTCTCCTGAGAAAAAGACACAACAGTCACATGCTCCAGCAAAGGAAATTCCAATCAGAGAAATGGAAAAAGTCTTCATATTGAGTCTTTAAGTGCTGGAACAGGCTGCCTGGAGAGGCTGTGAAATTTTTGTCTTTGGATACTTCATAATTTAGCAATGCAAAGACCTGAGAAACTTTAACTTTGAACTTATCTCTGTTTTGAGCTGAGAGCTGGACTAAAGACCTCTAGAGGTCACTTCCAATCTAAATTGTTCTATTTTTTAATTAAAGAAATCTCAGTTAATTTTACCTTAAGTTATGAAACTGGTCTATGAGTTCCTAAGGCCTCAAGGAGTTTGACATGACACTCCACAATGCCTCTTTCTTAAGGAACCTCTATATTTTAATATAAAATCATTTCAATAAAAGACCACTTCCCTGTGTGACTGGAGAAGGAGGGATTAGGAAAAGATGAGCCATCCTTGCTGGTGAATGATCTATCTCAGGTACCACCTAACTTTTGTGCTGATGTATTGTGTTTTGACTTCTCCAGCATAGGTATCTGAAGTATAAAAGGACCTCCGTTCCATAACATCTCAACCTTCTCTGTCAATAAACTCAATGGATTCCACTTTATAATTGTACATATTCATAAACAGAACTGCTGCTCATCAAGAACAGAACACAAGAGACCAACCTATGAACTTGATCTGCAACCATGAATTTCAGTATATTCCTCTGCTGAGAGGAGAGACAGTCCAGAGGGAGTTTTCTGATTAAGTCACCTTATCTTATACATATAAGATAACTGAACAGAGGGTAGTAGCATGGTAAGATCTAAAGAGTCATTTCTCCATCAGATCTTGTGGCCAAATTCTTAAAGGTAGTGTGCCCAAAGGAGTGTCCGGATTCCCTAGTAGGAAACTGAGGAAGTCTGAGATCTGACTACCCTTGTGTCAACAAGATTTATCATGGTGCACTGGCAGAATGGATGGTAGCAGTGCTACAGGGAAAACCAGAGTACCTGGAGAACCTGCTGCGAGTGGCACTGGAAGCTCTGCTTCCATCATAGAGACAGAATGATGAATAATAGAAGTAATTCAGTCTCCAACTGTCATTTTTATAAAGGTTTACAGTAGTACGAAGCTGGCTGGTAACACCAGTTTGATGATTGTCACATTTACTTGGTCTGTGTCAGATATCTCACTGCCATAGTACAGTTGGTGTTGATTTTGGTACATTTTCCCTTTGGCTTGAGATGTATGGATATGATTCTTAAGAGGAGCTAGATATTTATCCAGACAATTTTTTGTGGGCTTCACATCACAATCAAGCTTCAACAGTTTCAGTTTTGTGACTGAGCCACACTATCTTGGAAAAGGATCAGAGTGGCAAGACGAGATTGCTTGAGAAAGTCTCCATGGTCAAGCTACTACCCAAAGATTCTCCACCTGTTAGACTTTACTGCTAGGCTAGACAGCCAGCTCTGAAGTCAACTCTACCAGTTTCTTCTGGGTTCACCTTACATTCTTGAGAGTCTGAGAGATGGAAACCTCGTAGAAGGATTAAAATCCATCTGGTATATCACTTATAGCAGTCAAGCAATATGGGTGTGTTTACACTGTACAAGGCAGACGACAATCCAAACTGTAAATTTCAGTTTACACAGTCCTTTGTGGAGATAGGTCCACAGATCCACAAACATTTCCACCCCATGACTGTGGCTGAGTTCCAGAGGTAATAAACCTTGACTCTTAACAGGTTTCATAAGCTCTGGCTTTGTGCCATGTTAATGCAGCTTGCTGTGGATCCAAGCTAATACCAGTGCTGATTGGGAGCGTATAAGTAGCCTCTGTACCTGCTTTATTGTGTCTTTAGAACACCTGTCATTCAGCAGATATCTCTGCATATCAGTAGTTAGAAAAGTCTAGATGGGCTTGTCAATGTTCAGGGTGTAAGGGAAACATTTTTTTCCACTAAAATGTTGCCAATATGAAATAGAGAAATTTCTAGCTGTGTTGTTTTTTCTTGTGTATTGGAAGAAAATCAGTAGCCAACTGGAAGAGCTGAAGGGTTTCCTTTGATTGTAACAGGCATTGTACCGAAGATTTTTCATGCTTCCTTTATTTAGGAGTACTCTGAAGGAAGTGTATTGAAAGTTCCTAATTTTAGAGAATTCTATTCTTACTAAAACTTCCTCCTTTTTCATCAATGACATTCTTCCAAATTTTCAGGGAATTGACCGGGCAAAAGGGAAAACATTAGTTATAGTGAAACATGGAAAAGATGAACAGACTCCAATCTGAACAGTTTGTAAATGCAAGGACTTATAAATAAAATTAGAGAGAAAAACTTAGAAGGTTTGAATTTCCTAAGCTATCCTTCTTTCTTTGACTGGGGAAAGTATTGTTACTTTCAGAATAAAATTAAAATGAAAACCTAAGTTAATTGAAAGATTCTATTAACAGAACAATCCATATTACTTGCCAAATAAAAATCCCCACCCAGTATACCTTTAATATAAGTTCCAAAATAAAAATTTGGAATTGGAATCCAGAATTCCAAATCCATGACTTCTGAACAGATCATTTTAAACAACCTTTCAGAAAGTCTCTTAGAACTATTGCTAGCTGCAGAATGCCTTTAGCCCACGATCTACATTATCAGCACCACCTAGAGTGCATCACTAGAAACAACGGCAATAACATAAAACTAATATTCTTTACAAAACGTGATTGCATTTCAAAGGTCCATTTTCCAGACTTACTCTCTTTCAAAGATTTCCATTTCAAATATATGTGTCTGATTAATAGGAGAAAGGCAGGGAGAGATCATATTTTTATTGAACCAAGAAGAGGTGGAGAAAAGGCATCACAAAACATTTTATATTCAACTGAACCCTGTAAGGCAATGTCTATTGCTTCTGGCTTAATCATCAGCAAAAATTTCCTCAGCCAAAATACTGTTAGTATGGTGATGATGGTGATGATGATGATAATGATGATGATGAATATGTCCAAAACAGAACAGAATCCTGTTCACTCTCCAGAGAAATAGAAAGAGTTTGCTGTGTTTTTTCAGTAAACTGTTTAGTTAAGAGTTTGAAGGCAGAAGTGAGTGAATCAAGTGGATAAGATGTTACAGATATTACATGTTTATGAAGTAAATATACACATATACACATTCTCTGTATAGCCTGCTTTTATCAGACACCTACTTATTTAAAGCTGATTCCTGTATGTAGTCATAATAGCAACATAGAAAGTTAGAAAAATTATGCTGTGGGATGTATACTTGATTTTCCATTGTTTTCCATCTAGGAGAAATGATGTAAAGCTTTCATCTTGATTTATTTACACTCATTTTCTTCTAATATAACTGAACAGTACCTAGTTTACCATTACACTATTCCAGTTTGATACTGTAGAAATTAAATGAAAAATGAATAAAGTTATACTAGTATATGCCTGGAATAATTCAGTAGAGAGCTGAGTCCTTAATCTGTAGATGATGTTAATCTCCATAATTTGTGACTATATCAGTTAATTTGTAAATTCTGTTAGTGTTCAGAAATGCTCAAACAGACCTAGTTTTCAAACTCACTGAAATCCATAGGAGCACTCTACTTGCCTCTAGTTCTGATAAAAAGACACCTGGCACTGTTATCACACTTCTGAAGGTGCTTATTTTCATTTTTAAAACAAATTAGTTGTTATTATGGCTGCATAAAGATCTTATTACAGTCTGTTTTAAAGAATAAACAAAGTAGGAATATAGGCTTAACAAAACAGAACATTTTCTTGCATTGTAAATGTATATGCAAAAATTCAGCTGTTAACAAGTACTGATCATTCATTTCTGGCAAAGTAGTGCAATGAGGTTGGAAACAGGGCTTCCTGCTGCACTGACTAAGAAGCACATGCTGAAAAAGCACAACTTCAGATCTTTATTGCAGTATGTGGTCTTGATTTTAGGTCTGAGAAGACACTATTGAATGGGACGAGCACAGCAAAGGACCTCTCTTTTCTCAGAAGCCAGCTCTCTCCTTCTCTAATGGCACAGAACTTGTTAGTACCACTGGTGATCTTTATTCCTCTCACTCCCATCTTCCCCATCCATTACCAGTTGCCTTCCTGTTACATCTGAGGTCCACTTGCTTCTGCTCTGGGAAAATTTCTTTCCAATTGGATGGGATGAGCTAAATGCTTTGCCTCTGGTCCTCCTCTTCATTTATCTTCTGACCTAAAAATACATCTAACATCACTCAAACTGACCTGTATGCTTATATTTCCCTTAAACATTATTTCTAGGCTAAACCTTACAAGTTTACATACTGCAAACTCAGAGCATAAATGAATAATACGAGTCAATAATTGCAGAACTGTAATATAATTTCGAGTTTGTATGCTTTATATAATTGAAATACTTTATAAAGTAAATAAGTTTAATATTACAATTCATTGTAGTCTTGCACACTAGTGAGATTTATTTTATTGAAATTCTTAATGTGAAGAGAAAGAATAAAAAGAAAGTATTTTGGATCTTTTAGTCCTGACAGTAACTCTACTCTTACCCACTACCACAATATTACAGTACAGTACATTTTCTCAATATACTGCTGACACCACATGACAAGCAATATTTTCACTGTATTGCATAAAACACTTCTATATTACTAATGCACCATGAAGAAACTAAGATGAAATTGTTACATCAGTGGGAAGGGTCTGACCTGTATCTTTTCTTACACAAAAAAGGTATCGTACTTTCAGTCCAAACTGACAACTCTTAATAAAATTATAGAAAAATGGAAAAGACTATGACATTCATCAAAGAATGGCTGCACAGAAGTATCCCAAAGATGTTAGGAATTGCAGTAAAGTGCCCTCACCATTACAAGAAAATAAATTTACTTGCTGTAATATGAAAATGCAGCAAATATTCTGCATGTTAATTAATAATTCAAAACAAAATATGTCTCAACTATATACATCCAAATTCTGTCATTTTAAAAGAATACATATATTTAGAGCTATAAGCACTGAGAAAGACGAAAAAAAAATAAAATAAATGCACTTCAGGGCATAAAACCTGATTCACAAGCTGAATTTTTTTTTCCTTGAGCAGAATTATTCCCAATTTTATTGTTTCAAGACATTGTGCACAGTTCTTTGAAGGCTGTGAAGCTGGAACCTGTCTGAACAAGGACAGAGATCTACCTGTACTTCAGTTCTGCTCTTGAATGGATCATTTTCATTCTGTGACATCATAACAGTACCTTATTATGTCCCTATACAAATCCTCGACTATAGCATCTCCGGATCATGTGACAGGTGAAAAAGGACCATTTGATTTGAAGACTGAACACAGAGGTTGAAAGGGATTTTTAAATTTCCTTTAAGCACAGGCTGTTGTCCTTCTGAATTAAATCAACCAGTCTGGTAAGAAGTGAATCAGCTGGACAAACAGAGGATTTTCAACACCTCAAGATGGGCAGTGGAGCCAGTTCTGAAAGCAAGGAGTCAGCCAGGAGATCCAGAGAACTGGAAAAGAAACTCCAGGCAGATGCAGAGAGAGAAGCCAGGACAGTCAAACTACTACTGTTGGGTAAATAGAATAAAAATTGCTCGTAATTATTTTCTATCGAGGGGTTATTTTGCTCTGGAATTACATTTCAGTAAAGTGAATTTCATACTTCTCACTGTTTTATTTGAAAAAGACAATCTTCTAACATATGCACAAAATGTTTTCTGGTTGTGGACACTCATGAAGTCACAAGGAATAGGCTGGAAATGGCCATGTCACTGCATGTATTCAATTTTAAGTATTATAAATCTGTGGCTTTGAAAAGATTTGAGAAATGAGAACCCATTGTCAGAATAAATGTTATGATGCTTACTTACACAGAACATAACACACTTACCTTTTTTATCCTTTTTTTTTCTTATTTTTTTCTTTTTTTCCTATATGCATTCATTTGCAGAAGGATTAAGTGAGATAACTGGTTACATAGAAAATCCACAGGTGTCAGAAGGTATTGATATTGTTTATTTTCCAAACTGCTGCATTTTGGTTTTTTGCAGAAAGTGTAATCCACACTATGATCAATTTATAAACAGACAGTGGGTTTAATGGCAATTTTTTTTTCTTGATACAGCTTTATTCTTCTCTCTTTTTTTCCATGGTACTGTATAGCCTACAAAAAATATCCAAGAGCACAAGAACACTGCCCACCGTCTTAATATTTTTCTTCTAAGAGTATGATGACTGTTATGAGACTTTACATTGGTTTCTCCAAATGAACAGAAAAACAGTCTTTGATCATTGAGATGTTTCTATCTCCTTGATTGTAACCTCAGTGCTTTGAAATATTTCTATATTCTCCTTGATCGTAACTGCAATGCTTACAAATGCTTTTAAAGTGACATTTATTCAGATTTAGCTAGATCCCATAGATAAAGTAAATCAGCTTATCTCTGATGTTTTGTATCTTAAGCAAAAAGTCTCTTTGTTCCTGTTGAGAATCTAACTGCTATTATTATTAAAGAAATAAAAGAAAAATACAACCATGCATGTTTCTCAAAGAGTAACAGGAAAGTAGCAATTTGATGCACTTTATGTACCATCAGTGTTCAGACTGCTGTTTACAAAGCTTTTCAGCACAGTGGAGAATATGAAGATTTTCTGTGCCACATCAATACAAAATATTGCTTCTACTGAGGCAAGCTTGAGTTAGTAAAAAACCAGAATAATATTTTCATTTAAACTTCCATAAAGTTTCAATACTTTCTATATGTTCTTACAAAAAAGAATTGGCATATCAAGTTAGAACTAGGGTCCCTTTACTCCAGCATCCTGTCTCTGACCTTATCTGACACTGGTACATGAGGAAGATGTAAGAAATCCTTTAAGAGGAATTTATAAGATAAAGATGAATTTATAAGATAAGCAGTTTGACGATATATTTTGATATTCAAGCTTTCATGCCTTGGCAGTAGTACTGGAGGTTGTCTTACACCAGGACACAAATTAAATTACCCCTCCCAGAACATATGTATATACTTAGTATTCAGGACTTCAGTTTTAAATATTTCTTAATGTATACAATCACTCTTCTTTTGACACTATTACTATCAACCTCAAAATACTTCTAGTAAAGTACTTTGAGATTAATTGCAAGCTATGTGAAAAATACTTCTGTTTAATTCATTTCAAATCTGAACACATTTCAGTTTCATCAACTATACAAGCACTCATTTCATGAGACAAGACGACCATCAGAATGCAAAATACTTTTGCTGAAGTCTTCTTTATATGATATATTTCTACAATATCTTCCTAAATTCATGTCACACATGATAAAGATTTAAATTTGTCAGTGGGTAATGTTTAGGAAAGGTTTTTTCTCCTAGGGAACTGTTGCAATAGATCACAAGGACTTGGTAAAAAAAATGTTGGAGAGAGGAAAAAAAGATTATAGACTTAGCTTTATTTTTCTTTTCCTTAAAAAAGCAAGAGATGAATAAAACATGACTCTGTTTTGAGCCTGTTGCACAGCTAGAGTGAAAGTGTTTCTTGAACATCTGGAATCACAGCTGCTGAAGTAATGTATATAAGGGGCACCATATAGACCCTTCCAGAGTCAACCAGTGAAATGGCCTTGTAGGAGACGGTTAAATCTACCGTGTTCAGATCTGTACCTGTTATCTTTCCACACTTCTGAGATGATCTCCGAAATTATTCAAATTTTACATTTCATAAATCCAGGGCAGCTCTATTCAAGACAACCAGCCCAGTCCTAACCTAGTCCATGGTTTCTGTTCATTTAGACCATATGTTGTCTCTATATGATAGACCAGATGTCACCATTGTTTCTTTTGAAGTAGGTAGATTGGTAGAAATTACTCAGGAAAAAAATGGACATGTATATCGTCAGTTTTTCAGTGTGATCATTATGCTCTTACCCTTAAAATAATAAGAATTAATAATAATAATAATAAAGTATTCAGATAAAGTATTCTGACCATTTCCTGAGAGGATTGTTTAACATCTTTAACATCTAGTCTGGTCTCTCTGTGTCCTCCAATAGGTCCTTTTACAAAAAAAAAATATATACATATGGAATACAAAGATACCACATTTGTTTACGCTAAGTTGCATGATCTGGGCAAACACATTATCTGTATTGAGGTGATAAATTACAGTTTTTATGACATGCACATAAAAACTGCACATACAAACTGGAGGAGGGGGAAAATTATGCCACTTTCTGATGTTCTGCACAAGTTTTCAGGAGCCAGGAGGATTAAGTCCTCTGTGTTAGGTGTTCCTAGGTTGTCAAGGCCATATCATCCCCTCAACTTGTCTGCAAATCTAGCCTCTACATATTTATACTTCCAAAAAATCAGATTGTTTTATGAGTCTGGAACAAACTCCAAGGTGAAAGTTTTATTTCTTTTGTATCAGGGCCATATCTTGCCTACTAGATCACACACAGTTTATATACTTAGTAGGAGACCAGCTTGCAATTTAGTTGTGTGCAAAGTGCAGCACACATTTGAAACGTGGACAAAACAACTGATGCTGACAGTGATGTTTTACAGAAATAAGAACTTAGCTTCAGTTTAAATAATCATTAAAAGTTTGCACTTTATTTTCAAAGTATTACTCCATGGCTTCACTGTCTACAGTCTGCAGCGGTAGGACGAACTTCCTCAATTCTCATTTGAGCTGGTCATCCTCAGATCACTTTGCAGAGGAATACTCGCTTTTAGGGCACAACTCACTCAATTTAATTTAAATATCTGCTTTTGAGTGACAAAAATTGAAGCTTTTTGTTTTAGGTTTAGTAGCATATATTTTTCTCTACTGACTGTCAGAGGTCTCTGATAAGAAGTCTGAATGTAAATGTAAATTTTAATTTAAAAGACATTTAAATCCAGTTAAATGAAACAGTTACTGTAGTATTGAAGTCAGGTTTAAGTTCCTGTTATTAATACCTGCACTGGAAGCCAGGACTGGGAGCACAAAGACAGCCCAATAACCTCATTGATCAGAATACACCGATTTTCTTTTTTGGGGGGTGGGGATAATGTATCTTATTCCCTCAATACAGTTAGATCTTAGATCTTTTCTCTAGTTTCTTTCTCTCATGGAGAAAGTTTGTTGAGTTTGGTAAGAGGACCAGGAAGATCTAATTTCCTGTCCAGCTCACAATTTCCAGAGCTCTGAATGGCACAGACAAGGCTCAGGCAGATGTGTGAAACCGTCCCTGATTCTAATTTGAAGATTTTATTTTCCTGCTTTTTGCTGGTTTACGTCCATGTCAGTGGCTTTTGTGACAGGTTTCAGACAAAATATTCAAGCAGTAGGTTTTTCTTATTTTCTTGCCTTTATTTCTGGAAACTTTCCTAAACCAAACCTTTACTTCCACATGAATAATAACTGTAAAGAGATAATAGCTCTTGATCTGAGACACAAAAGCAGCTTAATATATAAAAAGAACCTCCTTCAATGGCTCAGCACATGCTAATCTTGAAAGGGGCTTGGAGTCTCCGCAGTTTCCACAACTATTCAAACAAATTCTGCCTTTTTTCCATCTCAAGGAAACTTGATATCCAAATAGAGATAGAGAAATCAGAGGTAAATTTGAAAATGCTAGACAATCTTAAATACGTGAAATTGGAGCCTACAAGAAAGCTGGGGAGGGACTTTTTACAAGGGCAGTTAGTGATAGAACAAGGGGTATTGGTTATAAATTGGAAGAGGGCAGGTTTAGATTAGGTATTAGGAAGAAATTCTTGACTGTGAGGGTGGTCAGACACTGGAACAGTTGCCCAGAGAAGCTGTTCATGCCCCCTCCCTGGAAGTGTTCCAGGCCAGGCTGGATGAGGCTTTGAGCAACCTGGTCTAGTGGAAGGTGTCCCTGCTGATGGCAGAGGGGCTGGAACTAGATGAACTTCAGGGTCCCTTCCAACCCAAACCATTCTCTGATACTATGATTCTATGAAATGCAAAATAGGGGCTATGCCATATTACCACCGGTCCCTATCAGGCTGAGCTATAAAGCCTCACAGTGACAGAGAGTTTCTCAAAAGCCAATTAAACTTCCCAAGCTTCAGGATAGGACTAAGGTCGGCCTAAGTTCTCATATTTTATTCAGAAAATCTGAGCTCGATTGTAATTGCCCTTTTCACTGCCTCTGAAAGAGAAGTTGCCTTCAGGTCCCCATGCAGTCACTTAAGGGCTGTCATCATGCGCTTTTGCTGCTGTTTCTGGAAGCGGAAGGCTACTGGGGTGGGTGGAAACACAGACCTGTCCCTGCTCTCCCACCCTGGGGCCTGACCGGAGGAGCACGCTGTGCAGGAGGGGGAAGGAAGAAAGGAAGCAGGTGCAAAGTAAATTGTTTCTGACCCATTTCCTGGGGTGCAAATGTTGCTATGACTAACATGATACTCAACAGCGAAGCCAAAGTCTGAGAGTCATCTGTTGTTTAGATAAAGGCATTACTGGATCATAAATTAAAGATGAACAGAGGTAGAAAAAATGCACCTAAAAGATATAAATTTTGTCTCCCTCTCTACTTTAACTTTGCCTTTTGGATCTGGAAGAAGGGTTCATTTCTATATTATGCTTCCTGGCCTTTCCATGAGGTGAAAGTATGAATTCTCAGCACAGCTTGCTCCTTTCTCTACAAAAAGTGTAGCAAACACCACCTTGCCAATAGGGCTTTACCAAGTCCTTCAGAAGGGCATTGAAGGTATAATAGATGATCTATAGCAAATTTGCATTTTTTCCAAACTCTGGCAGATGGCAGCATCAGCCCATTTTGCATAGGCTCGTTTTTTTCTCTCACTTTCTGCCATTCATATCATGGGCTTTAGAAAATGTTTTGCATATGGTTTGCTGTCTGTTGTGATTCATTTGAGTAAATTAATCTCTGTCATTTAAATGTTATTAGCTTTACAAAATCTGTTTGGAAAGTTTGTAATCAGTTTGTTCCATTCACTGAGAATCCCTCAGTTAGAACAACTATGCTTCAGATTTGTTCTCTTGTCAAAAGTATTTGACACCGTCCAGTGAGGTAAATGATAATCTGCAAAGAGAAAGGCAGTGATGAAACCTGTCCCATGGATTCACAACTAAAAATATACTCTCTTCAGGTGCTTTCAAAATCTGGCTCTTGTTTGGCAGTTCTTGTCAAGCCTCATCACTCTCACTGACAGAAGTTAAGACGATAGTCACTGCCACTGATTCCAGTGGAGAAGTTTTGCATTGTGATTACTCATTTTGTATGAGATAAGAAGGGTAAACTGATTGTACATAATCTGACCAAACCTATGCCCTAGTTCTGCAACTGGCTGTGCAAGCAAATGCCTGTACCTGCCTGCCAGATATGGGGATTTCCTGCAGGTTCATTCCCAAGCTGGATCTGTTGCATTGCTCTGCAGGTTTCCCACTTCCAGACACACTACCTCACAGCAGAGGACCATGAGGCAGAGGAACTGACAAAGCTCCAGTGCCAAGACGTTTGCTCATGTGCTGCCTCTGCATGACGAGGGGCCTGGAGCATCTCCCATATGAGGAAAGACTGAGAGAGCTGGGATTCTTCAGCCTTGAGAAGAGAAGACTGAGAGGGGATCTTATCAATGTCTATAAATACCTGAAGTGTGGGGGTCAAATGGATGGGGCCGGGCTCTTTTTGGTATTACTCAGTGACAGGACAATGGGCAATGGGCAAAAACTGAAACACTGAAAATTCCACACAAACTTAAGGAAAAACTTCTTTACTGTGAAGGTGACGGAGCACTGGAACAGGCTGCCCAAGGAGGCTATGGAGTCTCCATCTCTGGAGATGTTCAAAACCCACCTGGATGCTTTCCTGTGCAATCTGCTGTAGGGAACCTGCTTTGGCAGGGGGGTTGGACTAGGTGATCTCCTGAGGTCCCTTCCAACCCCTATGATTCTGTGTTTCTGTGATCATGAGACAGACCACATGCAAGTCTCCACACTCTGCTTTCCAGTTGCTCAAAGAGACTGGCTAAAGAGCATGGAACTGGCTGGTTTGGTTTACAAAAGGTCATGATACACATTAAATGAGCAACTATAATTCATGTAATGAATGGGACACTGTCAGAAGCTGTAGTTTCTTCATGTCTTTCAGCCCATCTGCCAGGGATGAAATCAAAACATGACCCATATTTTATTTCCTTGGTAATTAAACAGTCTATATTTTTCTCTTAATTGATTTAATGTTCCTTTCTTTTCAAATGTCTCTTTCCTTTCCTATCCAGAATTAATATTTTTACTGAGATTTCATTCTTTGTAAGTCTGAATGGACACTAGGGAGGGTTATAGTTAGTACAATGCAGATCTTTAACATCTGTATGTCTCTTCATAAATACAAAATTCTATGTTCCAGAGAGTTATTTTTAATACTTGTTACTTATTCATGTATCAATTACATCTCCTCAACTTCCCCCCTCTGCAGGTGCAGGGGAGTCAGGAAAGAGCACTATTGTAAAGCAAATGAAGTAAGTATATGGATATTCATAGCAGTTGTTGAATTTGGTATTTGTAGTATAAGCTATGTAGCTAATGTCTTATTACAATATTTATGCCTATTTGGATCATTAAAATCAAGTTCTCATTCAACCACATAAAGAAAAACACAAAGTGACTAAGGTACACAGCTGGATTAGTAATCAAATCTGTCTGATCAAATCATGCACTGGTCCAACTCCCTACTGAAGACCAGGGAAGCTTCTTCATTGGCTTTGGTAGGAGTTACAGCACTGTAGTGAGAACATGAATGCATAAGACAATCAGCCATGGCAGATGCACCTAGCTTAGTATCCCATCTCCTGCAGTAGCTAATGAAAGATGTTTTCAGAAGATCATCAGACCAGACAAGCAAACTTACTTTTCCTGGATACTTGGATAGTACCTGATCTGTGGCTCAGGCAGAATCCTGAACCCAAGATGGCATCACTGTGTTTAACAGCCTCCATTAATTAATGCCTACCTTTCTCCTGAATCTTTTTTTGGACCAAGGTAAACTAATAACATCCACAGTATTCTATAGCAAGTAGTTCCACAGTTTAATATGATATGGTGTGAATCATCTCCCATTGTTCAATTTTAATTTGGTCCCTATTGATTTCATTTTATTTCACCAGATTGCAAGAGAAAATATTGATGTATTTATATTGTGCAATAACACAAAGTCTTCCCCCCACCTCCAAACTGGGCTCTGTAGATCATTCTTGCTCTCCACAGTCTTATTCCAGCTCCTGCTAGTGGTCAGAAAGATTGTTCTCAGGTCTCCCACAGACGAGGTGAGAACATATTTAGTGGCCAGCCCACACAGTGAGTAGCCACTACCCATCATCTAGCATGGGTAGGAACAGTCATGAGAACTGCTTTTAACAAGGAAAGTATCAGCCCAAAAAGTTTTCACACAATAATCAGTCTGAAAAAAAACAACAACAACAACAAAAAAAAACCAACACAAATAAACAAAAAACCAAAACCAGCCTGTACAAGCTCAAATGTAGAAATCCCTGTTCAAATTTGGATTGAGTATCTGATCAAGAAGATCTTGCGGCTGCACCATAAATCTTCTGCAAGAATACTTGTAGATGTTTGTTCAAAGTGCACATGGTGCCACACAGATTGAAGACAACAGCTTTATTTCCCCTGGCTTCAGAGGAAGGTCAAATTCCTGTGCATGTGTCCCCATTTAAAATTTACTATCACCATATAGTAAAACAGGGTACAACTAAATTCATTTATGCTATTCTTTTAAGGGTAGCCAAAATACTAATCCTGTATCTGGTTTAAATAGATAATCCACTTGAGTTACAGAGATCATACCTACACAGGTAGCAAAAATCCTCCTTTACTTTGTAACCTGCTAAAATATTGCTGTTGTATCTAGCCTTATTTTCATAGACAGTGTCCAGGTCTGCTTCCTAGACCTGTCCAGATACAGAAAAAATCACACAGGCATTGTAACTGTTTAGACATCATCCCACTTTGTAAGCACAATTCTCTTCCAGTGTAAAAATCAGACCATTTTACAAAATCAGAAATATTATTCCAAATTTAAGTTCTTCTGACTATTTCATATCTTCACTAGTGCATTTTAAAGAGTGAAGCAAAAAATGTTATGTCATAAGAGCAATTTTCTACTATTTAAGCAGCTCATTTTGTAACACAAATTCAGAACCATCCATCAAATACTTTGCTAACTTTTTTGTTCCAGTTAAATCATGAATAATTTTATTTCAGTTTTGAATTCCAATCATGACACCTTCCCTATTCAGCAAACCATTGAAATTATTGTACTGAAGCTTCCCCAAGCAGAAGTAGATTAAAGATGTTCCTCTGAAATGAGCAGTTTAAGCCTGATAACCCTTAACAGCATCGAGGAGGGGGCAGAAAACTGCAAAGCTGAGTTAACTTTAAAGTCCTGTGCATTTATGAGCTGTCAACTTGATCACAAACATTAATTATTTTACAAGAAAATTGTTCATAAAATCATAGAATGGCTTGGATTGGAAGGGACCTTAAAGATCGTCTAGTTCCACCCCCCCTGCCATGACACCCTCCACTAGACCAGGTTGCTCAAAGCCTCATCCAACCTGGCCTTGAATATTTCCAGGGAGGGGGCATCCACAACTTCTTTGAGCAACCTGTTCCAGTGTCTCACCACCCTCATAGGAAAGAATTTCTTCCTTTGCCCTCTTCCAGTTTAAAGCCATTACCCCTTGTTCTATCACTACTTGCCCTTGTAAAAAAAAATATTTTTTTTTAATATAAAATGTCATCTTTCTGTCACAACCAAGGACTTTTTTTTTAAAAAAGGATTTTTTTCAGTTAAAAAAAACAAAAACAATTTCAGTTATTACTTTTTCAGTGAAAATATATTTTTCCACCAAAATCAGGGTAATTCCACTCCTATTAATATAATTTTCTAATTCATAATCCTCATTCTTTACAGATTAAAGATTTCAATCAACCTTAATTTTTCCACTAAGCTTTGCACAATATCTTCTGATGCTCAAAATTTAGATATGCTGCAATGGCTAGGATGGTTATGAGGGATAACTAACAAAGGGAAAAAAAAAGCTTTTCTGGAGCTCTGTGCTTCTGACTAGATAATTTCCAATGTGTGTTCTAATTTTTTTAAAACCGAGTATTTCTGTGCTATGGCCTAAGTCAGCAGTACAAACCTACTATGAATAATTCATAATGAATGAAAAGTAGGAAACAAAATAATTGGTAACTCATCATGTCTGTTGATATTGAATTGACTGCACCTATCTGGTGAGGAGCCATCCTTGCATGAAAAAAAAAGAAGACTAACTATTTTCATCCAATAGAAACCAAATTTAGATATTATGGCTGATAGCCTAACACCTCATGCTTTCAGCATCCTGCATTTATTTTTTAAAGGTTGTTTATTTTTTTCAAGGAGGATCAGGGAACAAAATTTTCCATTTGTTAAAATGCTCCTTCTGGCCATACAAGATGTCAGCTTGTTTTACAACCCTTCCTTAAGAATGACAGACCTTTAATGTAAGCAGCAAAATTCACTGCTGGTTTAACAAGCTGGCTAACATACCTCTGCCAGAGGACATAGATATATTAGTTAAAAAAAAACATAAAACCCCTGCAAAACAACAACTAAATTAAAAAAGCAAACCATGAAAAGCCTCAAGCAAACCCAAGTTTTCTTTCTGTAATTATAGAATCTAGTTTTATTTCAAAATCTTATATTTTCTTCCTTCCTTTGTTCTTCAAAAGGAAAGCATGAAAATATAAAATAGCCATTTGTGGATGGTGTTAGGGCTTTTCCTTCTCTCTCACAGATTTTTGCAGTCACAGGCAAAACACTCATCTTCCCCAGAAATCCTCTTATGGCCACCAATGTGGGACACACAAAGTAGTTAAACCAAGTTCAGGTACTTCATAGGGTTTTAGTTTCTATATATTTCATTCCATTATTTATAGAAAAGCTACTGCTTTTACAGGTGGCAAGGGTAAGAGTGAGAAGAATATGCTTAAGTACCAATGCAAGGTTCAACATTGATAGCAGTTGAAATTATTTCTTGTTAAAGGTGATCCGACCCACTAAAGGAGGCCACCTACACCAGTGGGGAGCTCTGAGCCCTGTGGTGCCTCATACACAGGACATTGCTAAATGTCCTCTTTTGCCCAAGCAGCAATCCAGATCATCCAGTGCACTATCATGGAACTACATTAGACTCCTCCAAGTGAATCAGTGTCCCCTCTGAACAATTCTTATTATTTCATTCCCCAATGTATTGATGCAGGGATACATGGATATATCAGAGGATAGCAAAAAACGGTTCTTTAGTATACCAGACTGTGTAACACAGCTCCTTTTTATCTTTCTCCCAAGTTCCATAGGATTCCTTTTAATCTTGGAGATTCATTTGAGTTCATGCTGAAAACAGAATTAAAAAAAACAAAGCTTCAAAACAGATTTTATAGATTTACCCGGTCTAGATGTGATTGAGGAAACATATAGAGAAACCTTTTTTCCTACAGGTGCTATTCCTACAGAAACAAGAATGTAACTTTTTAATTTTCTGACATCCATGAGTCAGAGAGATGTTAAGATACTTTAAATTGTGATCTGGATTTTGTGCACATGTGTGTAAGTAAGTGAATTTATTTGTGACAGGGCTGACTTCCTTTCTTTAAAGGAAAGTCTCCCCAAGACACACACCTGGACTCATTCTGGGCCAACCTCTCAGATCCTTTCACATCACCCCTTTCTGCTTGTATAGCTCTGTCCAGACTGCTTCTCTGGCAAGAGACAGGGCAAAAAAATCAAACTCCAAACTCCAAACCCCAGAAATTATTTATTTAATAACCTTGCCTTCACCTCTGAACAACTGAGGTGAGGCAGAATACAGCCTTGGTTCCAGCAGCAGCCAAAACAGTTTATTGTCTGTTCATTGAGAGTATGCCACACCAAAACGGTTCAAGTTTTCATCCTTTTTCACAACACATGGAAAAAGACGTCTCTGAGTCATGATATAATCTGCACAGTGATCCTGGAGAAGTTTAACCACATGCCATTCTCCAGTCAAGGAGGATTATGAATTTATAATATCTCTCAGAATGAGATTAAATGAATTTGCCTACTAAGGTTCTTTGTCCTCCAGACAACAGGTCAAATCCTTTGGAGTAATATGTATGTCTCCAAAACCTATAGATAATAACAGTAACACCTGTCAACAACTAGAAATTGTAACTGATGAACAAAGAAATATTAAAGATTTTGTTTGTGTGTTTGTTTGTTTTCTTGAGGAAGTGCCTCAGTGTAGAAATATTTTTACAACAATTTTTCTACTCTAGGTAAGATTCAGATTAAAAATGAGAATGACTAAACAAGCAGCGTGAGAGCCCAGGTCTAACTATTTGGGCTCTCTGTCCAGCTATGCATCCTGCTTTGTATCCACAGGAATGGGCCTAGGTTTTGTTCTGGGTTCATACATTATCTTATATTCACCCACAAGGCAAAAAAACAATATCTGTTCACTCCAGCTGGGGAGTCAAAACCTAGCCTCACAAATTTAAGCTCATATAACTGCAGAAATTGCTGTTAACCTGTTCCAACAGAACAGGTAAAGTGACCATTGATAAATGCTTTTCCAAGGGCCAGGTGGATTCAGTTCTTCCTCAAGCTGACCACAAAAGCATCTGATCTCACTTTTCATGGCTTTCTTTTAATGCATCCCATAAACCTTTTGTTTTCTGTTTTTGCACCAGGATCATCCATAAAGATGGTTTCACATACCAGGAACGCATGGAGTTCAGATCTGTCATTTACAGTAATGCAGTGCAGTCTATTCTGTCTATCGTGAAAGCAATGACTAAGTTAGGAATCAGTTATGAAAATCCAGCTAGAATTGTGAGTATGAAAAAAAATTGAAATAGACATTGGAATACTTTTTTTTTTGGGGGGGGGTGGTGGTAATATAATGGTTAAGACCAGTAGAACAAAGAGAGTTCGATATTTGCTTTATGATAGTGGAAACTAAGTATTGCTGGAGTTATATGGGACACAATATAACTTTTCTCAAGACTTATGCCTGAGGTCTAATCTTTGCATAAACTGCCATTTAGTTTGCTACAAAAGAAGTGTTCCACTTGCAAAGAAAAAAAAAATGAACCTTTTCCTTAGCTGCTTAGTTACTTATTTATTGCTATTGGGAAATGTAATAGATATTTCCCTTTTATGAACAGAACTTGGGGCTGTAAGGAAGGAAGGAAGTGCCAATGTAAGGAAGGGTCATCTGGACATGTTGGGAATATTTCAGTTTGGCATTGCTCCTGGAGCAGAGACCTCCCCATTGTACAGAAGCAGCACTGGCACATCAGTACTGCAGAGAAGTAGAGTCTGACCTCCCTGGCATGGTTAGCAATCCTATGCACATGCACGTAGAGGAAGAGCCACAGTAAGGTGACCTGCTGTCTTCTGGTAACCATGCTGAATTTTCAGGGACAGAAGGAAAAATATATCCCTTTCTTCTCAGTTTAATGATTTAGTCTATTGCCTGTAATTCAGATCTTGCTGAGAATTTCTCAAAGGCTTGTCAGAGTATCAGCTGGTTCCAGTTTTGGCAAATTCTACCTATTCCCTAGAAGTTTATCTTAGAGGGAATTGTATCTGCTTATCTGAAAGACCTTTTCTTGTTCCAGAAGTCAACATTTCATTACAGTGATATGTGGCACTTTGACCCAAAAAATGATAAACAATGCTTTTCTTCCAAAAACAAACTTGGCTTACATTTTCTGTAAAATCATAAGTCATCTATAAGCCACAGTTGTTTTGATACAAGCTTTGATTTCATCTGGACTTTGTTCTTGCTGTGTTCTGGTCTAGATTTAGCTGCTTAAAGTATTGTAGCCCAAAGACTGGGCTTACCTTGGGGCCAAAAGCAATGGGTTTATCCATGTTCCAGGACTGCCTATAAATACCTCTAAGTAATCCTAAAAGTGCCTTAGCACATAATTTCAAACATCTGTTCAGGTGAGAGAGATATTTTTTCTTCCTAAAGCACCACTGCAATCTGGTTTTAATATGAAAATCATCTGAAGTCTGTCTAAATGCCAGAGAAACAAGACATTATATAAACCAAGGTTATGATAAACTCAATCTGTCGCTATCTTCTCTTTTTACGTAAGCATCAAAATCCACAGTTGCCACCTTTTGCATAATAATCAACGAACATTTACTGTACACTGGAGGCTCTGAGCTCAAGGCTTCTCGTTGTCGGTTATTCAACCGAGAAAGCCAGTCTTGTAGGAGGACAGCTGCATATAATCATTAAATGATATGTGATATCTCAAAGAAGAGAACATTGCAACTCTTATCTAGAAGCTGAACAAGTGTGTGCCCTGGAGAGCAGCCCTGGGGAGAAATGAGGGGCATACACGAGAAAGAAAGCATGACTCAGTTCTGCTCATCCCAGCACTCAGTGAGAGGATGGGAGTGTAGAATGGGGTCAGCTTTGTTCAATGTAGAAGGGCAATTGTATGGCTCTCCTCCTTCCTCTCAAATGAAGGCAATTCTCTAGAGCTTATTTCCCCCCCCCCCCTTTTTTTTTTCCCATGCTAACTGTACAGATTGGTCTCCTACACTAACTCAATTTCTCTAGTCTTTCAGAAGACCTGCAGTGTTTTATTTTTGATCAGTCTCTGACTTTTACAAAGTTTCCAGAAACTGTAACTTGGATTGAAACCTATAGTACATTCCTAAAACAAATTTGTTAAATATTATTGTGAAGATGTTTTCTATTTTTAATAAAATATACTCAGTGCCAAAACAGTGACTGTCAGAATCCATTTCTACTTTTGCAGCTATTGACTGCAAGTCACTTCAATTGTCTACTTATAGGGCTAGGAAGGAATTATATTCTATAATTATCCACTGCTGTGACAGTATATCAAATGACCCTATTTCAATCATGCTCTTTATTTACGGTACATTCCCAAGCTGTTAATCACTGAAGAGAAATATTTTTTTAATGTAATAGATTACATTAATTCTATTTGGATTGACTGCAAAAGAAATTACAGAATAATACATTTAAAACATTTGGGATTTCATTCAGGTACTCGTTTCTTCTTCCTCAAATAAAAAACATATAGGAAATGCATTCACTAATTATACTCACTTTGCCATATTTTTTATTGTGGCCTAAAGCTATAATTTTTTTTTTCTTCCAACTATATTAAATATATTTAGCCACATATTTCTGCTTTGTTTTGATATGTTTAAGCTTTAAATACCCTTTATAATTTACTTTTTGATACCCCATTACTCTCTCTTATAATAAAAGCCCTCCTTCCAAGTTGGACCTTTTGTGAACACCTATAGTAAGATGAAACTGAGCCCCTTTATGAACAAAACAAAACAATAAAAAGAGGAAAACTCTGTGTATCACAATTTAAGTCTAACCTTGGCACTAACTAAAGTTTGTAAAAGGATGTTCATGTGCATAGGTGAGTAAAGCTACCTGGAAAAATCAGTGAAAATGAGAAATTTTGCCACAGCAACTCATTGTAAACCAAGCACGTCTTCACGGAGCTGGAGGGGCACAGTGTGCTTGCACAACATTTACTGAAATTTCTCTTTAGGAAGATGAAAGGAAACTGTGTGCCATGGCAACAACTCTGGAGGATGGCGACCTGTCTTCTGAATTGGTTGAACTCATCAAACAACTGTGGAGCGATGGCGGGACCCAGGCCTGCTTTGCCAGGGCAGTGGAGTACCAGCTCAGTGACTCGGCAGCCTAGTAGGTGACACCAGCTGCAGGTGCTGAACAGCTGGCTATTCCTGTAAGGGACAGCGTAGGAAGGCTTGCAACAAGAACTCTTCCTCACATGCAGAATAGCCTATGAAAATAATTGCTCATTAACCTGAAAAAGAACGGGCTTTTTTGCTAGTGTTTGTAATATATTAGAAATGTTTAACCAAAGGGAACAAGTGAAAACAAGGAACAAATTGTTTCTGTGAGTTTGTTTAAACTGTAAAAAAAAAGTCCACTCTCTCTCTAGGTAGTTCTAAGATTGACAAAATGAGGGAAAAGAGTGAATTTAAACTAGGTTTTTACCTAGAGTTGTACTTTGAATGTATACATTTCAAGCTGCTAAACCTTAGCCCGGAGAAAACTATAAAAACTTTCCTCTAAACTAACCTGGCTGCATGGACGGGTATTTCTGGGGTCGTTACCCTCTCAGCATCCAGCTGTGCTGCAGCTGCTCTCTGACCTGACTGCCCCAGTTCCCTTTCTGCACCCTGGGAGGTGGCAGGCAGATAAGTAGGGGACCAGGGCTGCTCAGCTCTGACTCCACGAAGGGTCACCATCCTGCTGAGGTACAACTCCTAGCTTAAGATATAGTCAGTAAGCTTACACTTTTCAGGAGTCCCTGGTTGGTTTCTTCCAAAGCTGTTCTTGAAGGCTTCAGTGGTCCTGTTCTGCTGGTTTGTCCCTAAGCTCATACAAGACCGAGAAAGGGGGTGTCACCTTGGTCAGAGCTTTCCCGAAGTGCGTAAGTCTCACTGCAGACCTGGTGCCCAGGGTTGTTCCAGCTGAGGTTCATCTTCCAAGGTCTGCAGTTGGAGGTTTCTCTGCTCCTGCAGCTCCTCCTACAGGCCACCCGGAGAGTGAAACCTCACAAGGTGCTGGGTGTCACTTCCACTCTGCAGGGAAGGGCAGGATCCGAGGCTGGGTCAGGAGCCAGGCAAACCCAAGGCAGTATTAGCTCACTAACTGTAGATAGTAGAAGGGAGATACACGAAAATATTAAACATTCTTCGCCTATTTACATCTTCAAAACAAGAATGAAGACCTTTCTGCAAGATACTTAAACAAAGAAAATATTGTTTCTGTTGATTTGTGCCTGATTTTGCAGTATTTTATGTCAGCCTCGTGTTTCTATAGAAATAGTACAGAGCAATCTTTTGCTTCCTAACATATCTTTTCTGGCAAATTACCTCTCCCCCAGCCAAAACCAGCACAGCCACACTGCAGTTCCCAGCACTAAAAGCCTGTAACAAATCAGCCCTCATAAATAAAAGGAAAAACTCTTATTGAAATTAAAAATCAAATTAAAGAAACAAAAAAAAAGTATAAAAAAATAATATATTACCTGTTTACCAGCTAACACTCTAGAGTGTACACTATGCCTGGTAGATCAGGTTTTGTTGCCTAAAAAGAAGATGGGATAGTCTAAAGTAATCCTCTCTCAGTGTTAGGGGCTGCATTGTGTTTTAACCTGCAATGGGTTTCAGTATTTAAGGGAACTAGTAAAGTCTGTAAAGTAGTCAAGAATCATTATTTATCGACAGAGTTACATTAAAATCAGCAATGATATCTTTTTCATCTGCTTGAACACTTCTGAAAATCTTGCTAATCCTCTATCTTAATCTTTCAGTACCTGATGCTTCTGAAAATCTAGCCTTTAGTTCTGAAACATTAAAGTCAACTTAACTTTTGCCCTGGCCGATGGGCTTCTAATGATCCATCTAAAACCAGCTAGATGCAATCAACCATCTAATGCCACCTTTCAATTTCTTTTAGAACCAAACCCCTGTTTCTCAACTCCTGTGAATCAGCTCCTACAGAGTACTGATTTATATTGTGCAAATTCTGACTTTCTGAGGTTATATTTAATTATTAATTCATGATAATGAAGTTTGATCATTGTCTTTCATCTGTACGTTTTAACCAGGGGGGAAAAAAAAAAAAAAAAAAAAAAAAAAAAGAGTTCTGAATAATAGCAAAACCCATGTATGTTAGATTTGGATGGAATTTCTTCCTTAGGCTCACCTGGAATTAATCCTGTTTTAAGATGGAATGATGGGTAAGGAAGGGGCAAAATCAGGATTATAGATTGTGACCTTAAATGTCATTGTATAGTTACCAGTAGCACGTGGTGCTTCTGGCTTGCTCAGTCATTTGCCTGTCAGGGTAGGATTCGTGTCACCTAATTCAAGCCAAGGAAAGATCAGGCATTCAGACCAACCAACTAGTTTGCATTCCCTCTTTTACCAGCGCAGATCCGACCTGCAGAATGTCCCCTTGGAGCTGCCTACAGCTCTAGGAACAATCTGAAGATGCCTCTCTTGCTCCATTAACTAGATCATTAACGTGGTCTATTTTTTTATGGAATAACAATTGGCTGCATTGAATTGAATGTAGGTATTTGTGACTAAGAACTATCAGATATTGATAATTCATTTTATATACAAGTGGGTTTTTTAGTGCTTACATGATTTATAAATTGCAAAATGTCTTTTGTTTCTGCCTTCTACAAAGGTGAGCTGAGATGAGTTTGCCTCAGGTCCTACTCAGAGAACCAGAGCTATATTGCATTTGTTTTAAAAACACATTGTTTCCTGGACTCAAATAATGGGCAAACACTGAATTACTCAGATCAACTTCAGCATCCTTTGCTGAGTGGATTCAGTCTATTAAAATAAGAAAATCCCATTTCCAAGCATTACTTACAAACCTCTGTATGGAAGATTCTAGATTTTTTTTATTTTATTTTTTTACTGAGAGATTTATTAAATATTGCAGACAAGGATGATGAGCTGTGAGGCTTGGTTTGGTAATTGTCTGGTTAAACCGAGCAGCAGAACTTCATGCTGGGCAGACTTTGTGTTAGAGAAGAAAAAAAAAGGTATGAAGCCTAACAAACATTAGAAAGACTGCATTTTGTTTGTCAGAGACAAGAGGCTACAAATGGAAAGGTACCAACTGGGACACCAAAAGCTTGAAAATGATTCAACTATTTTATGTGGTTTCTTGCTTTTGGCTTTGTTCTTTATTTGAATATTAGTAGTTAAAAGATAGGAAGCTACCCAGACATCACCTCTTCTTTTCCTTTCGTCAATTCTTAACCTCTTTATGCAGATTCCTAGACCAGCCATCAGGAGTCATATGCTCTGTCCAGCCATTTTGAGAAAGCTGCATACCCCTGGAAGAGAGACAGGAGAAGAGTTGGTGGTAGGATAAGAACAGGCTTCAAAGATCTGGTTTGGATTTTAATTTCATGCAGATTTTATCTCCATAAGCCAGACATAAAAACAGACAATCCACTCTTTTCCAGGTGGTTGTGTGCATACAAACCTAGGGGGTCCTCAGTTTCCTGGAAGCTTCTGGTTTTGACCAAAAAATATATATATTTTTTTTAGTTATATGTACCTTCCTCTGTAAACGTATAGGTCTGCAGGGAAAACAGCCTCTAAATATGAATTCCTCAAAAATATTATGCCCTCACTTTCACTTAGGAAGGAAGACACTGTTGCAACCGGTCTGATAGGTTGTAATAACTTCTAGTCAATCTGCTCCTGAAAGATGCTTGTGGTTCTTCTCCTGTGGTGGCAATTCTCACTTGTTGAAAACAAATGGACAAAACCTCTTTCCTGAAGGGTGGTTTATTAGCATCACTGAGGAAAAGAAAGATTTTCCTGAACTGAAATTCTCAGAAAGATGTTTATTATATACAACTAAATTACACTTCCATAAAAAAGAAGAAAAAAAAAAAAAAAAAAAAGAAAAGAAAAAAAGAAAAAGAAAGGCTCTGGATTGTGGATCTAGGTTTTTATAAAAACCAATAGTATTCTATTTAAATGTGTAATTTACATGAAATATTTAAAAGAAGCTCAATATGAAGTGATAAAGTAACATTCATTTCACCTTTCGAATTCACCAGTCACTATTTCTTTTTCCTCTCCTTAGTTACCTCAACGATTTGGATAGGTTAGCAATGCCAGACTACGTGCCTAGTGAGCAAGATGTTTTGCACTCCCGAGTGAAAACAACTGGGATTATAGAGACTCAATTTTCTTTCAAAGATTTGAACTTCAGGTATGAAAGACATATTTGACAGTTTTCTCTGATTTTATCTTTATCAAGTATTTTCTTCCAAAGGTATTGACCTTTTATAATATTGGTAAACCCTTCCCTATATCCTTGAATCCACTCTTACTTAACATTTTGAAACAGCAAAAAAAAAAGCAAGATATTTTAGTACCAGTACTCCAACTTTAAGCATATAATGGACCATTATTAAGAGAACACAGCATATCAGGTTCTAAAAGGACATTTTTACATATGTAAGTGCCTAAAAAGCATTATTTGTATCCTGCCATTTGAATAATTGTTTGTGACATTTCGGAATTTTGCCTACCTAAATGTCCTTAACAGCATGCAAAACATTTGATGACTACTAATTTGCATGCACTCTCAACCTTTCACTCTCTTCTTTTGAGAACAGAAATAACTGCTCTTAACAATGGAATGCATTACAGTTGGCAAAAAAAAAAAACATTCTATCCCATGGGAAATTTCAGTATTAGCACGCATGCCTTCCTGCTCATTTAAGATGAAAAGCAAAGTGTTCAGAAAAAAATCTTGAAAATAATGTCTCTGAGAAATGTGACTGAAAATAATTGAAACTTTCAGATACTCCAGATTTTCTTTATTCTTGGTGAGCCAATTAAAAACATCTAATTCCACATGTAAATATATTTGAATGAATTATGATAGTTTCAGTGTTCTATAATGCTTTTCTCTATGGACTGAATTACATTTAATTCTTCATTTAAAGGCTGGGGTGCATACTGAGGAATGTAGTCTAGATAAGAAACTGTCTGTAGAGAAAGACAGATGTATAAAGCACCAGGATTATAACTTTTACATTTTTCATTAGGCTTTTTTTTTCTCCTCATTTTCTTCTCATGACAATTAGACATCCCCCAAACCATCTATGCTATGACACAGATGCTTTGACACAACCGAGATTAAATACACAAAATAACATTCTGAAGTAAATGCCCTACAAATAAATAATTATCTATTAATACAATGATCATTCATGAAGATTCTGAAGTAAATGCCCTACAAATAAATTATCTATTAATACAATGATCATTCATGAAAATTCAGCACACACTTACCCACAAACACTACAGTACAATGTCATAGATAGCATCTTCTTTTTCTCTGATTAACATATTTCCAAATAGCTTTGTACATTGGAAATCTGAGCACCTTCTGTTACAACCATAGTTTATGTAAGAAATAAAATCAGGATGGAGAAAGAAATCATCAGAGTGCAAACCATCTTTGATATGCCTGCTACCAGTCCTGCCCAACATTAAAATATCAGAATTAGTGTCTAGGTCCAACTGAAATGCAGCACAACTGAGAATTAAGTTACCTCAGTGTCTGAAAACAAGACGAATGCTCCTAATGCCGCCACAAACACAAAAAACTCACTGTTTAGCTTCTCTGCTATGCATCCCAGTAGTGTTATATGATTGAATTCATTGGTGGTTTTAGGCTTGAGTAATACAAGGTAAAATCACTACAAAATAGTCTGAGGGTTTTGAGCTGCTATAGAGATGCAGAACAGCTATAAATCCATCTTAACCAGACAGTTACTGCTACTTTGCATTGCCAGCGCAGTGCAAAAACAGCTGGGGGATCCTGATGAGTCTGCACTTAGTTTGATAAATACCATAGAAACATCTACAAAGAGAGGAACACTTCCACATTCAGAGTGAGTTTTGGTTGATGTACTTAAAATGAGGCTTGGGGTCACAAGCCTTACATGGATAAAAAGAAAACATGAACAGATGCCTCATTCACTAAACACTTGTCTCTCTTCTGAACTGAATGAGGTAGAAAACATTTTGTGTTGGTGCAATAAAAGTCTAAATCCCTGTACTGCTCCAGGGAACTGAATAACAATTGCACAGACATAATCTCTTGTTATTTGCTGTCTTCTTAGTGGTTACTTTGCTAGTTCAGTGTAATTTAGCTTTCTTGTGCTCTTCAGTTTATTTCACTAATGTTGACTTTGGTTTCCAGAGCTCAGAACATACTAAATATTTTTTAAAAGAAGGTCTGATCTTCATAGGTTCTCTCCTGCTGTCATTTCCATTGATCTGCTAGGAAGAGTTTGACTGAAATCAGGCATGCTTTATTTCAGTCTTCAGTTCTCACTATATGTATCATTAGAGTAAATGAATATACAGCTAATCCCATATCTGGAGCTAAGATTTCAAAGAGTAGTGCTGGGAAAATATAGATAAATAATAATAAATATAATAAAAAATAAAATCTCAGTAATAAATTTTCTACCACACACAGATGGACTTCAGTCTTACATGGGCATACGTTAAGTTCTGGGCTGACATTAGAAGACCTAAGCAAACTAACATTAGTACAACAGAAACTGTCCATAAGCATTTCCTCTGGCCTTGATCTTGTCATATTTTAACTGGCTTCTCAAGACTATTCACAGGGCCACACGTTAAAATCTTGCAGGAAGTGAACATAGATCCATATGGTTAGGTATGCTTGCAAAACTTTACTGCAGACTAAATTTTGAAGCTTTTTTTCTCCCATAACCCTAATTTCAGAGTTATATACTACAAATCAAGGAAGACACATAATGGCAGGGAACTTTTGGGCACTAATCACAGTCAAAAGTCAAGATGCTTCACACATACTGACCTCACTCCTCAGTAGGCATACTGATCTCAGTGAAGATATGCTTGGAAGAATGCCACTCCTGTTATCAAAATCTTGCTCCACAACAGCTTCCTGATTTCCTAATAATTCATATTTATAGACACCCAATGATCAGACAAAGAGATGAAATGTACCAAAAAAAATAATTATCTAATTACTCCTCAGCTGCAGAAACAGTTCATCATGAGCATTCAGAAGTGTTTCATTTCTTCTAAGTAGGATGAAAAATGATACAATAACTTTTGTTTCCATCATCTGGATTGCTCATGGTGAAGAAAACAGAGGAACAATATACTGCAAAAATCGTGTTTCAGTAACAAATTATACTTGCTCTGTTTCTTACTGACATGATTTTTTCATAGTGAATCCCAATATTTTCATTGCTATAAAAACTAAGCTGTCTTTAATTTTCAGATATTGCAGGAGATACAACCAGAGTAAGATCTAATGTATTTTCTTGAAGGAAGGGATAATGCACCAGGGGATTAGGTTTTACAGTTTTAAGTTCAACAACAGGCAACACAGGGAAAAGTCATGATGCACACAAGAAAACAGAAAAAGTAAGGGTAGGATAAATCTGATTTTTTGCATGATTTTTCTCCTTTCTAGTGCACTTGAAAAATGTTCAAGTTTGGTACCTTTTATGCCAGAGAAATAGTGAAAAGAAAGCCCTATCCCTTATCACTAAAGAACTGCAAATACGAGTGGGAATTTTGAAAGCTAGTGCTAAGCAGAACAACGGTAGCTTTGATGACAGCTCCATCTCAGTTGGGACCTGACAAGGGCCTGGGCCAGGTCCCAGCTAGGTACGCTCAGGTGGCTTTGGATCCCATGTAAGGGGTCCATATCCAAGTTGATATGACTCTATCCAAAGGCAGTAATTTCTGGTAAAGACTGAAGGAAATTAATGCAGAGGAGGACAGCCCTATGTTTTCCTCTCTACAAATGAAGGGATTTGTGTTCCCCATTAACTGCTGCTTAAACAGCAGCTAAAGAGATTGTTAGGGCAGAGACACCACACACATACATACTGGTGGTTTTGTTTGGTTTTGGTTTTTTTTTCAAAGGATGTTTGATGTGGGTGGACAGCGATCAGAGAGAAAAAAGTGGATTCACTGCTTTGAGGGAGTTACCTGCATCATATTCTGTGCTGCACTCAGTGCCTATGACATGGTTCTTGTGGAAGACAAAGAAGTGGTGAGTCAGAAGAGACAAACAACCCTTTTTGCTGCTAAGTTTTAATGTACTCTCTGATGGCATATCAGAAATATTCCTGTTCCCTGATAACCATTTAAAGGCTATTTTGCTGTTTCGGTTCTTGCCAGTAAGGAACATAACAGTAAAAATGACATATGGGGATAAGTTTTGTCGGTCTCTCCTGTTTACCTTTTGCACCTCAACAGAACAGAATGCACGAAAGCCTTCAGCTATTCAACAGCATCTGCAACCACAAGTGCTTTGCATCCACCTCCATTGTGCTGTTTCTAAATAAAAAAGACCTCTTTCAAGAGAAAATAACAAAAGTTCACCTGAATATCTGCTTTCCTGAGTATAATGGTAAGTTTGGTGTTTTCAGAAGAAAATACATTCAGATAATTAGTGGAGGCAATGCATTAAAGACTGAGACTTTGACTCAAGTCACCTATATATAACCATTTAAATACTAAGGATCTTATCTAAGCATCCAGCCTTTCTCTCAAAAGAATGGTATGGGACAGACATGGCCAGAATCCAATTCATCTCACCAACTCATGATGCTTATCCTAGGGTGGGGTCATCTCTCTCTAGAGATGCTTATTTCTCTCCATTGGCAGTAGAGGAAGCTGAAAGAACTACAAGTTTCAGCTCGTTGAAGTGTGGTGTGGTGAACCCAGACAATATTTCAGTACAAGTCAGTGGCTTATCATTCACACACACCATAACTGAATCCAAGTTTAATGTCTCTACTTTGAAAACGCATTCCATAAAGAAAGTCTGCCTCTTTTTGTACGTCACCGTAGTGTCTATTGGAAATAAAAAATAGCAGCTGTTTCCAGCTGATGCAAGAGAACACGTGAGGCTATGTCAGAAAGTGGCAGAGAAAAAACAAAATCTGACAGTATTTTAGTATCAACTAAATATAATGTATTTGGGATAGAGAGTGTCCAGAATTAAACATACTTAAAGCAATATTATTATTAGAAGATGGGTTCTGTGCACTACCTGCAAACCAGCTCCTGCACTCCCTTTCTCAAGACACATCAACACAGCAACTCAAAATTGCTCAGTGCTTCACTGGGATAATCAAATATTATGTGCTAGACTCAGTGGAGCTAAGCCACTTGACGCTGCCTGAGGCTTTGGGCAGGATGGGAGCCAGCCAGGGCGCTCAGCAGCAGCTTGCCTGCAGGAGCCACATCCTCCTCCAGACCTGCAGCGAGTCCGCAGTACCAGTGTTCACACCTCCTGTTGTTCGAAAGGAGTACAACTGGAAGGCAGAAAAGATGCATGAAGAAATTATGGCTGAATATATAAGCATTGGAATTTTTCTCCTTTTCCTTCTTCATTTCTTTATCTCTTCATTTTTGTACTCCCCACCAATTTTGTCTGCTATCTACCTGCTTCCCTTTGAATTAATGCTCCTTCCTTTTTTCTTCTGTTTCTTTCACTTTCTGCTCTGTCTCTAAGGTCCTTAACTGTTTCACACTGACTTACTCAGCAGAATTTCACTTCAGAAATTAGGACTTCTGGTTAGGCATTGAAATCTAAATTTAGGAGGGCCGTTTAGACACAAAAGTTTCATACCTAATGCATGAAGTTAATGCCCTTTGGGAAAAAAAAAGAAACAAACAAACAAAAAAAATCTTTTCTCTTAAGCAGCTGTGAGAAGTACCAGTTGAAATGTGCCTTCTCTTGCTCTTACTGTTCTCTCCATTAGGACTAAATACATTTGAAGATGCTGGAAATTACATCAAGAAACGATTCCTAGACTTGAACATAAGGAAAGAAGATAAGGAGATATATTGTCACTTGACATGTGCCACAGACACCCAGAATGTCAAGTTTGTATTTGATGCAGTCACAGACATAATAATCAAAGAAAATCTGAAAGACTGTGGGCTTTTCTAGCCATTCTCTCCTTTGCTCATAGTTTGACTCCATCTCAATCCACTTCCTTCTCTTCATCCTGTGTGCTGACTGAAATGAAAAAAAACTCTAGGGAAGAAATAATATCAATTAGGTTTTTGTTAGCTGCCAGTTGAAGCCTGTATCCTGAGCATTGCAGACCCAACACTGACTTCCTGTATGTGCCATGAAGATTGAAAAAAAAAATATCCTTGCTCCACAAAGGTGCCAGCCGCTGATGAATCCTACTGGAATCAAAGGGAAATTTTTATTTTAATCAATATAATTTGAAGGTAATCAGCACTTCTCAGGAAACTGGGGCCACCTCAGTATCTTGTGTTCTTTAGTGATGGGAGAAAAAAGATAATATATAGCAGATAACTGACTTATTTATATTTGAAGCCTTAAGAAAGCTATAGCATTAAACAGTATCAATATATAATTTCAATTCAGTACTCTTTTGTTTTCATTTTACGTACACAACTAAAAATGGCATACCTTTAATTCAACAAAGGCAAATCCCTCAGATTTAACAGGAGTATGACAAAAAGCAGTAGAAATCTGTATGTTTAATTATACTATTTTGTTAAAAGAGCTGAGGGACACATACATAAAAACTGTACATGTATAAAATTCATAAATGCTGCTATCTAGTTTGGAAAAAATAAAACATAGGAAGATGGAGGCAAGTTTTTTGAATTCCTAAGGAAGAAAAAAATATTATAGTAACTGTCAGTTCCTGCCCAGGCCATAAAGGCAAGTTTAAACATTTTTTTTTTAACAATTGAAGATGAGACTTTTTTTTTTTTTTAATAATAATGAATAGTCCCGCTGCTGGACAGCTTCTCCAGTGCCCTGTGACAACAACAGCCATTTCCACCAGTGCAGAGCAGATATAAACCCACCAGATCTTGTGGCAAAAGCATATCTTTAGGACTTTGGCGCAGAGAACCATTCTCTGTCAAAAAACTTGCTAATGAAGAACTTCTCCCCTTTAATTCCTACTGATCTATCATGACTATAACTACAGAAAATATTTAATTATGTTAAACAAGATGTGAGTTCTAAATATATTCAACTGAATTGAGAAATTTGGTCTTGAAACAATACTCACTTTTGAAATCTGATTACTGACAAACTGTTTCCTTCTGGTTTGTTTAGTGTTTTGGTTTTGGTTTTTTGTTGTTCTGCGTTTTGGGGGTTTTTTTAAGTACATTTCAATCTAATTATAACCATACAATAATTGTGTTGTGGTTAATCTAATTATCGCAAACACTAGAATAGGCAACTTGAACACTGAACAACAGAGTCCTGCAAGCTGTCCACCCGAACAAGGTCACGGTGTGTGCCGGTCTCCCAGCAGAAGTAGGAAGTGGAGAGCTAAAATATATTTTGCAGTGTCTGCATTTCTATTGCTGCCTAATCTGCAAGGTTTCACTTGATTAATTCCTTGTTTGTATTGAAAATAATGACTTTCCAGAGGTAAAGTTTCCAGATTAATTTCCTGCAATAAATCTAATTTAAAGTGAGTAATTTGAACTACGGTGACAATAACGTTATTTTCTGGGTGCCTTGATGGCATAATAAAAACCTTTAAGAAACCAATCCACGAACAACCACATCTCTCAAATGTATTCTTCAAGCAAACGGCTGAGAAAAGGGACGGACTGTACACGCAGCCTCAAATTCCAGAGGTGGGACTGCACAGACCAGGTTTCCCACTCGTGCTGTACGAGGTGAGGCCGGCCTAAGTTCGCCCGAGCTCCAGGCACAGCAGTGAGGAGTGAGCTGTCGGCTTTGAGATCCTCCACGAGAAATGGCTGCGGGTAGTGACACCGGGCTGCCC